TAATACAGTTTTTCTGGCCAAAAGGGTTCGTATGATTTTTACTTGCTCGTTACTGGATCTTTAAGATGGGATCTTTGGTTACAAAGCTTGTATAAGACAGTATAACTGGCTACAAGAATTTATAAGTTTTCAAAGTTATAAGGGAGGATCTTAATTTTTTTTTAGCCTTCAGTATGAAAGGATCACACATCGGCAAGGCATCAGCAGACTTTAAAAGCGTGAGGGGGAAAAAAAACACTATAAATTATAGTTCTAAAGCCACATACATATTTTCAATGCTAATTTTATTATAATTTAACGTATGCCAGTGAAATGTGGTGAACCACTTAAGATATAGAACGAAGCTAAATGCGTTTGAAAACAAATGCCATGTTTAGCATAGCTGATGTCGAGCGCTGAAGACGAAATGAGATTATCGAAATAGACTCGCTGGTATCTATGCTCTATAGGATTACTAGGTTGCTAGGATTTATTTAATATAATTGAAGGTTACTGTGCCTCTATAAGACAGGATCGCTGGTTCTAGGCTATTATGAAATAGGATCGCTGGATACTGGGCTATTAACAAATTGCGTTGCCCGTTGCTGGAGCTATTGTCAAATAGGATTGCCGATTATTAAGCTGTTATGAAATATAATCGTAGGTTACTGGGCGATTATTGGATAGGATCGTGTGTTACTGGGCTGTTATAAGGTAGAAACTTGGATGACTATATTCTTATAAAATAAAATCGTGCTTTATATGGCTATTAATGAAGATGATCATGAGAAAAGCTGGCTACAAAGCAAGAGGTCGAACAAGAAAGAAATGGGTGGAGGGAGTTAAAGATACACTACAGAGACGCAAATGGCATTTATTTAGTAGGTTGGCACCTTTCCGTCTTTCCAGACGATAGTGTTATATTGTGATATGAGAAGGCATGGCAACCACAGCCCATGGCGATGGCGAGTGTGACTAGCAAGACCAGGTCGCGTCAAGAAAAATCTTCCAACATTATAAAATAGGATTTCAGGACCGTTGTTACTATCATTTGTATTTAGGACGTTCATTATCATTCCATTTCAGACTCCCCCCCCCCCACTCCCTCTCCCTCCCCCTCACGCAACATAGTCCCTGGCATTAATACAAACTTTGTAACTATAAAAGGATAAAGTAAGGTCCTTTTTCCCCGCCTTTAAGTGTATTGGGAATATACGGCTAGACTTATATTTTTATAGACCAATCGGCACTTGGTGGGTGATGTGGTCAGCATCACGCCGGCCGCCTTTACTTCCCAGGAATGCACCTGGTACCTACTATAGGTTGGGTCGACCTGTGAGTTATAAAAGAACATGAAACTACACAGCTGTATAATTCCTTTCTGTGATGCTTGACAGCATTAGCAGTAGTATAAAAGAAAAATATAAAAAGGGTCGCAAATTGCTCCTATATTATTTAAGAGAGCTTTAGAAACCCTGTCTCACCAGATAGTGGGGTCATACTACTTTAGGGTTATTTTGACGGCATAGTTTACTATTGCTGGTTTCTATTGAGGGGAAATTGGGAGGGTTGAGATAAGAAGACTTAACTCAGTGTGCGTCGGTTTTCATTATCATCATGACTATCATCATCATCATCATTATCATCAACCTGTTGTATGTATCTTAGTCAAATAGGGCTAGTAAGCTGTTCCTGCATTCCGTACTACTGTTAAATGTCTGTTACCACTGAAATAATTGTATGTTGATATATATATATATATATATATATATATATATATATATATATATGTATGTGTGTGTGTGTGTGTGTGTGTGTGTGAGAAAGAAAGAGAGAGAGAGAGAGAGAGAGAGAGAGAGAGAGAGAGAGAGAGAGAGAGAGAGAGAGAGAGAGAGAGAGAGAGATGTATTGTGACAAGAGCTGGGTTTTTCACTCCCCGACTTATTTGTATTTTCTTGAGTGAATCAGAGTAGTCTAATTTGTGAATCTTTTGGGGGAGGAAAAAGGGGGGGGGGGGGAGAGCAGATGTAAATGCTACTAAATGTATATCTTGTCCTTGGAAATGAAGAGAGGAGATGGGTATCATTATGTAAGTTTTGCGTTCCTGTACCTTCTAGAGTTGAGTGCGGCACACGCTTGTCCATTGGAGGGCTAGGGAAGAGCTGATCACCACTGTGTAGATAGACCCGTTTTTTCTATAGTAGTTGACACTTTCATAAAGATATGTTCAACTCAAGTTTTTAATTGGGATATGAAGAGTTCATAGAATTCTCAGAGCATTGAGCTTATTTTGATTTTTGTTTTATGTATCGTGTAATTTAGTCGATGCCGGGATGCCGGGTTCGATCCCAGCTGCAGGCCATGCGCCTTGCTTTGGATTCGACAGTGGTATCAAGAAAGCCGCCCGTCCAGAGGCAATGGCAAACTACTGGACGTAAATTTGCCTAGGAAAACCACACAACAGCCAGGGGTTGTTGAGGTTGGTTCTGCAACGTCCTGTAAAGGATACGCAACTAACCATTTCGTGTAATTTATTTAGGGCAATTATGTAATGGGCAAAACGCATTTACATTTTGGGATGAACGCAGAAGAAGAAGAAGAAGAAGAAGAAGAAGAAGAAGAAGAAGAAGAAGAAGAAGAAGAAGAAGAAGAAGAAGAAGAAGAAGAAGAAGAAGAAGAAGAAGAAGAAGAAGAAGAAGATTACGAAATAAATTGTCCTATGAAAATTTAGATACATTTCACTAACTTCACATCATTAAAGTAGTGGATTTTTATGCCTTTAGTATAATAGTTGATTATCCTCGCCGATTTTTTTCTTTAGGAGAAATGTCTTCAAAGGTGTTAAATCTACGGTTCCTTGGAGGCATTATATGGATCTCTTGTACCAGGAAATACTAGAAAGGAGATCTCACTATTATGTAGACCAATAGCAATTCACTCCGGCTTGATGCTGTCCACATCACCCACCCAGTGCTGTCCTATATGCCCAATAGTGAAGACGCGGGAAAATGTCTTTTAATTTTTTATAGCCTTTTTTTTATAGCCTACAAAGGTCAAGGGCACCAGTGTGTGCATCTCTTGTATCTGTACATGATGGAGTTAAAGTATCATTATGTTTGGTAAAAGGGTACCATAAAGTTGTCTACTGATGCTGATAGACATTTTGTCCAACTTGCCATACATCTGTGACTTGTTATAAGCTCGAATAAAGAATATAACACACTTATTTCTGCTACGCACGCTTAATATATAAGAGGAACAACCCCTATGGGACAGTTAACATAAAATATTTCTTGAGAAATTATCAACACCCTATGACAAGGTAGACATGACTCAGCTTTTGAAAGATCGCAAAGAAGGAAGTACATTGATTTATCTATTCACAGTTGAAGGGTGTCAATTCTTTGATTCACCCTGAGCCTAGAAACTAGTTTATGTCGTTTATTATACATGCGGCACTTCCTTGGAAGTTCTATTTTAAATTCATGAATCGTTGCCGAGATCTTCTTGTACATGGTATACTTTATCAACGCTTGTGTACAGTTGGTGATGTTTATAGATATTCACACACACATGTACACATTCACACACAAACTGTGTTTCTATCTATAAGCGTGCCTACACATGTACAACATAAGCCCTGTTTCTATTCATAGATATGCCCATACATGTACGCGTACAGACACAAACTCTGCTTCTGCTTACCTACTAGGTTATGTGCTTGGCTGTTAAAATATTTTTCTGTTTATCTTATCTGTGTCTGTCTAATGGTCGATCCATCCATCCATCCGTCTGTCTGTCTGTCTGTCTGTCTGTCTGTCTGTCTGTCTGTCTGTCTGTCTGTCTGTCTGTCTGTCTGTCTGTCTGTCTGTCTGTCTGTCTGTCTGTCTGTCTGTCTGTCTGCCTGTCTGTCTGTCTGTCTGTCTGTCTGTCTGTCTGTCTGTCTGTCTGCCTGCCTGCCTGCCTGCCTGCCTGCCTGCCTGCCTGTCTGTCCTGTCCTGTCTGTCTGTCTGTCTGTCTGTCTGTCTGTCTGTCTGTCTATCTGTCTGTCTGTCTGTCTGTCTGTCTGTCTGTCTGTATCTTCTGCCTATCCTTCTGTCTGTAATTCCATGGCTCACTCTCTCCATCCTACCCGCCTGTCCATTTTTCAACAAATTCATCTCCCTTCAGCCATAAGAACCCGTGTTAGTGAGGTGTATTTATTTAGGAAACCAATCTGTCATCAACTGAGAATGGGGACTGAATGAATCTACACCAGTTTAAAGAGTTACCAAACAAAGATGAGTTTTGTCATCACATCTTTACAGTATCTACCAGCAAGGCAGTGCCGTAACATCAATTACTAAGAGAGTTTAAATTAAACTAGAATTAAACTATTTTTCTTTGAATATGTAGTTGCTGTAATGTTTTACTTTTCTTACTTTTCAGGCTTACAAGCTCTGTCTACTGTGTGAATCTACTATGTAAGAACCATTGCATTGTTTGGAACAGCGAATTGGTTAGCAGCACAACAGTTTTCTATGACAAGAGACATGTTTACTAGCAAGAAGCACTAGCTGCATAAGCGGATGTTAAGAAACTTGACATCTTTCCATCTTTCCAGACCATAGTGTTTTACTGTGATATGAGGAGGGATGTAAGAAGGACAACTGCAATGAAACATTTCTATTCTGTTCAGTCGGGATCCCATGATTCTCATTACTGGATTATCTGCTGGAAAATTAGAAACTGAATATTAAGTGCTGCTATCATTAGCAACATCAGCTTGGAAATCAAGTATTTGTGAGAGAGAATTTTAAGCAAAATACCTTCACTATAACTATTTAATACAATCCATCTCAGTTACCTAAAGATTGTACTGTAGTTTTCATGAGGTAATTTTCATACACCATGACCAGTCTTGTTGCTTCTTTGATTGTGGTCATATTCTTCAGAATATCTTCTATAAGATGTGCCTTCGTACATTCTGAACCACAAATACAAAACTTATCTCTTTGGGCTACAGTCACAGCTGATGAAACATGTCAAAGCAACTGCTACACAAGTTTCCAGAACGTCTCTGCAAGGATAGCCATGTTTGTAAAGAAAATCACTGCAATGGGAGAGTTGGCTATCCTGCAGTGGAGCACCCACTTAGTGAGTGGTCATTTGAACGAAACAATGATGGGTGCAGCGTGAAAGGTAAAGACATTGCTAGTTCACCACCCACAGTGTTTGCTGATGCTGATGACAAAATGCTCATTGTCAATGGCTCATCTGATGGTTTGGCTCCCTGTTTTTCTCAAAGAAATAGTACAATTGATGGTGCTTTCACTCTAATCTTCTGGTTGATGGCAGACTGCCGAAACTGGTGAGTTATGCTTGTTTTCTTTGCATGCGCTTATTGTCACTTCATTTAAATTATTCTCACAATTTAGGGTTGTTTTGTATACCACCAGTTTCATTGCTCATAGATATCTCCTTAACTCTTTCACTGCCAAGCAACAACACATCACACGTTTGCTGCTCACTGTTTCTTAAATTCTTATCCATCTGGTAGATAAACACCTAAGATCCCAGTTGTTACTTTAACACAGTGTGCCCTGTTGCTATTATCCAAACATGTCCGAACCCTGTCACGATTTACTTTCAGTAACAAATGTTTATGATATAATGAGTTAAAACTATGTCTGTTGTGGCTGAAAGAGTTATCTTATTCCATGCTAAGAAACTCCTACAGATGCAATAAATACTGTTTTAAAGTAACTCTTTTTTTGGGTAAATTTATGAGTCATCAGTATGGTTATCTTCACAGTGCTCTGGACACCTCCATATTCGAAGGATTCATTTATTTGCTTCATTTTAATCAATTGTTACTGTAGTATTCTCCTGATGAGAAACAGTGAAATAAGCCTGGCAATAAATTGTGCACTCTATTGTTTGTGTCTTCTTTGTTCAAATTTACAATGGGAAAACCATGCTTTCGATCATGTTTAAGTATATTTCTCCTCAAACATACCTAAAACTGTTAATTTCTTTTGTCTAATACACTCAAAAAAGTAGAACCATCTAAGTACACGTTAGATAACACAATAATTAAAGACCACAAGCAAAAACTTTGGAAACTATCACATTCAGATGTTGACATGTATCACATTCAGATGTTAACATGTATAGTCTCCTATTTCAGCTCAGTTCTGTCAGTGTTGGTGAAAGGGAAGCAGACTGTTCAAATTCGTATCATTGAAGGCTCTATTTCTGTGGGAAACACTAATCAACAACAACCAAATATTGGCAAGCAATGGATTATGATTGGCCTTAGGGTGAGTAAAACCTCATCCAAACATTGGCAGTGAGTTTAGTTGTGCTGAGTCAAGAATTGACATTACAGCACTCAGGGCATTCCCATGTGTGCTGCATCCTCATCTTCAGCAGCCAGCGCAGAGTTCCAATACTGATGGTACCGGTCACAATCTGGTTGTATGTCCATCTTGCCTTTCCTCTGAGTGTAGTAAGCCTGCCAGACCCTCTGGTTACACCCAGGTGCCTCATTCTCTCCAGGCCAAAATCATTGTCAATGAGTTAGGATTTACTGTTCATCATTATGTGTGGCTTGCCTGATGGCCTAGATATGTGTATCATTCCATGGATCAATACTAGTTTTGTTACTGATAATTTTGTTGTTGGTATGCCTCAGCAAGCGAAGAGTTACAATTCTGGTGGTACCAGTAACCATCTGATTGTATAACCTATGTCATCCTTCTCCTGAGTGTTGAGCGTATGCAAGATCCCCTTGTTCTTTATATATAAAAGTACACAAGGCGGATGAGCTGGCGAGAGACTGATATTCTTTCAGGCAGACAGTGAGGAGAGCGACGTTCTACAGAGGATCTGCTACATGATGATGATGAGAAAAAAAAAATGGGGAAAGGGGAGCTGTGGGTCCTATGCCTGGGGATTTAAGGTTGCATGGCTAGTTCAATCACCACAAACTGTGCAAGGTTAGGATTTTCGTTTTACCCCAACAGAAACAAATCTCTATACCACAGTGTGGATCAAACTGAGGTCTCCTGTCTGAGAGCCTAAGACTCTAACCACTCAACCAGCTGCTCCTCAATTGGAAAAAAATCAATCATAATTCTTCCTTGATATTGATATGCTCTGTCTTTGCTACTTCTAATCTTTAATGTTATCATCTCATCTTATTACTAAAGAACATTGTCGCTCTGTTAGTGCTGCATGTAATTTAATGTTTAGGTGAGTTAGAGAAAAGCATTGTTCACCTACAGAGAACTTAGCATTATTAACAAGTTATGAGGCTTTAGTAGTTTTCAGTTCTAAAACTACAGGCTCATATACTACAACATTGTAACAAACACACATCAAAGCGTACTTATCATAATCTATGACCATAATGAAACAATCCTGCAAAAATTCCAGAATTCAGTTCAATTCATACGTCAAATGAAATTGCAGCAGACATCAACAATTGTAATTATTCTCACAGGATGGAACAACGTTCAGAGGAAGGTAAGAAAAGCATATGATCAGACCACTACTGGTACCACTGGAACTGAGACTCTGTGCTGGCTGCTGAAGGTGGGTGATGGAGCACTAATGAGAATGTCCTGAGTGCTGTGAAGTTGGTTCTTTATTTAACTCAGCTTTACAAGATAGACACACATTCTATAGTCAAAACTAAATGGTTCTCCTTTCTCAATCTTGCTTAACACATTATAAATATATAAACTGATCCTGTCAGTGATATTCTTATAAATGCAAAAATATCCTAAACCCATTACTTTTGTGTAAATTTTAAAAATATTCCTATTGATAACTTCTATGTAAATACATTTTTGCTAATATCAAAAGTTGTATAAATGTTTCACATAATTTTCACAATTTGGGTATATATAAATTGCCTATTTTTACACTTTTCTTTCAGTCTGTAAATAACCAGGTTACTGTTTTCATCAGTGACCAACCAATAAAACTAGAAAACAGTGCAGAAATTGTAAATATTTACATAGGAAGCGAAGACGGTACGTCTCTTCACTGTTGCAATATTTCTGTCATGCATTTTATATTTTCTACCTGTGCTTTTATATTTGTAATAGGGTTATGCTGTTTGCTTCTGTTGTCAGACAATGGCTAGGTCAAGAATAAAAATGGCTCCCAGTGTTGACAGAAACTCACATGATCACAAGATTTACTGTTGCCCAGTTGCCACTGGTTTGTTTATTCCTGGCAACACAATGCTATTCTTATTGAACAACATCGAAATTAGCCAAATAAGATATTTTGAGCATATGAAATGATATAATGTATTGCTAAAAGTCAGGATGGAGTGAATGGCTAAAAGCAAATATACAAGTAGAAACAGAAGTAGATGGTTAATGGTTGGTATGAAATAAATTCACATGACAGATAATATTATCTGCATAGAGCATTCAGGAATCAATTTGGCTGTTGGTTGAGGTCATCTCTGTCGCGTTGCTCTAGCATTTCTGTTGCTTTGGTAAAATTCCCTGTCATCCCTCCTCCTCTTCCAGACACACACACACAGACACACATACATATGCACACACACCCCTCCCCCCCCCACACACACACACACATACACACACACCCATATCAGTCCTTGCCGAACAGCAAATATTACGGAGATCTAAAAAACATTTCATGTGAAACTAAGCTTCAGCTGCTCAAAGCACAAGCTATTAGTCTGCCTACATATTGCTGTGAAACATTTACATTAACAGCTGAACTTGGAAATAACATGCAAGCACTGTATATGTGATCTTTCAAAAAAATCCTTGGGCATATCATACGGAGACCATATAACAAATGGAGAGGTTTGCTGTATTATTATCCATGACATTGGCAACTATAAAACTCTTTTAACTTTTAACTACATTAAAAATGTGGAGAAGGCAATTGTATGGACATGTAAAAAGATCTAATGGTCTCGCAAAAACCAAAAACATTGCTACAGGGTTTATTGGGGAGGGGGGAATATATGTTTTGGGCATATAGTGCCCATAATTTTATAGACCAATCGGCACTTGATGTGTTCAACATAAGGCCTGCCATCTTCACTTCTATGGACAATATGACATATAATAAACATACCTGGGAACAATAATAATTAGCAACTAAAACTAACAGTGTTAACAATGGCTATGATAATAATAAACATTTTAGTGATAATATGTACAGCAATGATGATGATGATGAGGAGAATAGTTGTAACAGAGAAACATTGCTTCAGTGACATAAATATTAGAACTCTCATAGTTCTAATGGTGATTAAAGGCTTCAGGCACATAAATGTTAATTTTCATAGTTACAGAGTTCTTTGTACACATATAAGCGTTACGTTTAATAGCTGTAACAGTGAAACAATGCTGCTCGCACAAAAACTGTAACATGTCTTTCATTTTTACAGTTGCACCAATCACAGATATCTTCCGTATGTATTCTGTAAGTTACTACAGGGATGCTCTAACAAACAGGTTTGTTTTTGTGGTAATGATAATAGATTCAGTTTTGAGCAGCAACTTCATTATACTGTTAGAAATGGATTGTACATGAACATTTAACGGTAACCAAAGCTGTGGTAGTGAAAGCATTGTTGTACAGTGTTTAGTAGGATATGGCCAGGATTCTGTCTTCATCAGTCTAAAAAAAAAAAAAACATTGGCATCAGATAATTATGAAGGCATTTTCTGGCAAAATATAAGTAGTAAGGATGGACCTTGGCCTTTCAGCTTCTTTATATCCTTAACTTTTAACTGTCAAAACTGAATAAGTCACATCTCAATGATTTTGTGTGCTATGAGATTATCCTTACCTTACAACCAATGACTGTCACCATGAAAACCCTATCATAAAAACAATCAAATACTGAGGTTCAGAAAAGACTGGGAATAAAAAGAAAGTTGCTGACAAATATTTAAAAACAAGGAGACAAGTGAAATATTACGATCATTTTTAAAGACATAACAGCCTTATAAAAACCATACCAGAGGGACAAGATAAAGGCAAGCAAGCAAAAGGTAGACGGTGATTCAAGTTTGGGGATAACAGTAAAAGATGGACAAACAGCAGTCTGAGAGAGCGTGCATGCATATCAAAAGATAGAACATGGTGAACATCCATTGCAGCCAACATTATTTGCGGACACAGCATCAGACTGATTGACTGAGTTGAGTTGAGTCAAGAATTGACATCATAGCACACGGGGCATTCCCATGCATGCTCCATTCTCATCTTCAGCAGCCAGCGTAGAGTTCCAAAACTGATGGCATCTGTCACAATCTGGTTAAAAGTCCATCTTGCCTTTCATCTGAGTGTGGTAAGCTGGCCTGACCCTCTGGTAACACCCAGGTGCCTCATTCTCTACAGGCAATAATAATCTTCTTTCTTTACTGATTCCGTTACTTGTGTCTGATTGATTGATTATCACCATCATGTAGCAGGTTCATGCGCCAGGTCAATTCTTTCATGAACAATTGGAAAGCTTCTGTCTCTTGCCAATTCCTCTAACTCTTGTATTGTATACCCATCATCAATCAGCAGCTCTTTTATAGCAAGTCGTTCTTATCACAGCACACCTAAAAGTCTCTCTTTGTGTTTCTCCAGCCCTTTGTGCTTTCATAGCCAATGCATCTTCAGTATCTTGTGACCACATCCACAGAGGTTTACATCTGCCTCATTTTCTGGAAATTGTACTCTCCATCACTCTTCTCTCCAGGCCACCATCACATTTAAATTGTCCAAAACACCCCAGGTTTCAGCACAAGATGCTGTTTATGAGCCAGTTTTCCTCAGTACTCATATTATGTAATATGTTTGTGTTTTCCTTCATCTTGATATATCAATGTGCCTCCAATATCCTGTGTTCACCTTCATGTTGGTATCTGAGAGCCACCTTTACCTCCCGGGAGTCCCCGTCGTGGAGCGGCTAGACACTCACCGTGGATCGGAAGGTCGTGGGAGCCCGGACTTTTTCCAAAAATCACCTCGGCTCTCAGGTCGACCCAGCCTTGATTGGGTACTGGGTGCAGTCCCGGGATGTAGAGACAGCCAGTGTGATGTTGACCACATCACCCATCTTTTACCATTGGTCTATAAAAATATAGGTCTAGCCCTATATGCCCTATAAGCCTAAAGGTGTGGAGAAGGGTCTTTTACTTTACTTTACTTTTTATCTTTACCTCCCAGAATGTTTCACAGTGCTCATTATAATCTGAGAGACAAAGTCAAATTGTAAAAGTCTTTGCATTAGTCAGGATTTGAACACATGACCACTGAGCTGGTAGACAAGCAAACTAGCCACTTCACCACCACACCTCCAAAATTCAATATGGTGGACATTCGATGTGAAGATAATACAGCACGATAGCAAGCAGATGTCAATGCTTTAACTGTTTTCTCCACACCTCATACACATGTCATATTCGAAAGTGTTTTCTCTATTCGGAAAAAAAAGATCAATGTGTGCTCATTGGTTTTGTGTCAAATGAGTTTTGAGTCTTGAGCTTAGTTTTACATAAAACTGTCTAATAAATATAAATGTCAATATTTCTGAGTGCTTGGCTACTTTCTTTCTATACCAAACAACTCACAGAGTGTTGGTTTAGTTGCATCTACCTTTTGATCGACTTTTCTCAACTCTTAGTGCCCCCCCCCCCTCCCCACCTCCCGGCTACACTAACCCACTTTGCACCAACTAGCATTTAACACCTTCTGACTTGATGTGATATAATTTTAATTTCTAAAAGGCCAAACATTTTTTTAGTTGAAGAAACAACATGTAAATATGTAATGAGTTAGAGTGAAACATACCTGGGACTTGAATAGAGTTAAAAAGGTGAAATGTAGAATAATCTAGGCAAAGGCTTTATTATCCACAGGATGAAGTATTTTTTACGCAATATATCTTTGTCAGTTGAAATGACTAAGTTCTTAAGAGCTATATAGTTCTAACTATGATATAGGGAACTGAATCTTTGACAGTGTGTAGATTAGTGAAAAATCATTTGAAAATTGCTGAACGAAATATTATTTTTTTGTAATTGAAATGGGAATAGACAGAATTATGAGTAAACAGAATAGACATTCTGAAGAAAATGAACTCACTACAGTCCTGAATAATTGCACCAAAGAAGGACAATCCACATTTTTTTGGGGTGGGTCATGATCAGAGGAAATATTGAGAACACTGTCTCTGACAATAGGAGGGCATGAGGAGAAAAAAATCAGAGGGATTTTCTGTTGTATGATTACTTTAATAAATTAATCACATACAGAGTTTTGCACACTGGAATGAATAGAGGGTTATTGAAAGAAAATAAACTGGCAGGTGAAGTCTTTCAGATAAATGTCACTTTAAAAGAAAAAAAAATTCTTATGTGAAATATTTTGGAGGGACAGGTTAAAAGAAGGTTAGCAACAGGCAGACAGGGATGTAAGTGGGAGTATAACATCAATAGATATATAATCAGCTTAGTACAGTCTGAAAGAGTTATAGCCAGAGCAAAAGGCAGAAGTGTTGGACATTCATTGCAGCCAACATTCATTGTTTTCTTGATACAGCCTGATTCAATCCACTACACAGATTTTGTAGCCAAAAGTACAGTGCCCTCCATTATTGTTTTTTTTAATCCAGTGGATTGTTTGATATGGCCAATATTCAGTTTCTGAGACATAGCTGCTATTTACTAGTCAGTTCTCTTTGATGTTCAGATATTGTTGGTTAATTAGTTGTGTATCCTTTACAGGACATTGCAGAACCAACACCAGCACTTTGTAGATGATCAGTATTTCTTTTTCCCCCCTTGATCTATGGTGTTCTAAAAGTCTTTAAAAACAAGAGTTTAATTCGAAACGATTACTTCATTGAACTGGGTTTAATCCCCATATTGCTCAATCTCTCCACAGAATGGCTAGCTGTCTGTCGAGAGTGTCACAGACAGCACAAACACTATAGCTCAGACAATGATCCCCATCGGTCTCCATACAAATTGCACTCATGAACTAAATAAACACAGCTATGCAATGAAACCGTAATCTCCAGAATTTGAGCACAATGGCTTGATCCTTTTACCATGGAGATGCATTTAAAAAAATCTTTCTCAAACAATCAAGTTTGAATTCTAATGTTTGCAATTTAGTACGTGCCTCACATTCGGATGCTGTTACAGTAAAAATAGGACCTAAATTATGTAATTTCTACATTAAATCTACAGTTTGCCTATTTGCCTCACAATCAGTATGTGATAAATGCTTTTTTTTTTTTTTTAAATATCTCAGAGAAATTCAGGCCAAGAGGGTAGGCATAACAGATCCAACAATCCAGTATGAAGACTGTCAGTGTCCCATTGATCACTTTGAAGAAGTGGGTGACAACAACTGCACAGATGGAACATCCTACATCCAGAGATTCATCCCAGAGCTTTTTTACAATGCCAGTGTCACTGTGGATGGTGACCACAACACCTACTGGGCATCTTCAGACCAGGGAGATGCTGTGCTAATATTAAACTTTAATATTTCATTTCAGGTAATCTCTTAACTCTTTCTGTTCTGATCAGTGCACCATGTGTACCATGTTATTTCATCTAATCTCATATCTTATGCCAAAAGTTGTTCATATATGGTCTTCTTCTGAATGTCTCCTTTGTCCAATAATTGAGTTCCCACGGCCTTCACTTTTGTAGCCAGAATATCTGCTTTTTCATTCCCTTGCACTCCAGCATATCTCGAACAGTATATCCAGGTGATTCCCTGCAATGTTGGCATACTAATGCATGGTATCCTCTCATGTCACATTAGTCCATTTTGAACCTTCCACAATGCTGACTGAAAATGGGACACAATAATTGCTCTGGTAACTTTGTTTTCTGCTATCCACTTCAGAGTTGCAGTGATTGCATTCTCATGCTTGAAGTCGTAGATAAAAAAGCTCTGTTTTGTTCTGCCACAATTTTCCCCTTCATTCTAGCTAAAATTCACCAGTTAGATCTTACACCCTGATGAACGGAACCATCGGTGTACACTACTGCATCATCTAGTCCAGCCTTTCCATCTACCATTTGTTGTACCTCTAATTCTGCCATACGTTATACCATTCTCTACATTCTCTTTCTAACGTGATAATGACAAGATGGAAACTGCTGTTGTGGGTGTTCGTGTCGATCCATTCCTGCCGTCTGTGTTTTTGCTTGACTGAGACCGCTGTCTGATGGTATCTTCAGCTAGTGCCATCTATGACTTTCCTCTTTTCAACCGGTTTTTTCTTAAATCGTTCAAATTACCATGCAGCAGATGCCTTTCGTCATTGGTAAAACTCATATAGCCTTGGCTTGTGCCAGTGACAGTCTAGACTTTACCGATGTCAGCTTAAGCACAACTCATTCTTCTAACATAGTACAATTTCTATCATATTTACAACCCCAAAAAAAGCAAAATTTGAAACAATACAAATTAAATTTTAATCATATAAATAATTGCATAATATATACATTTAAAATAATCAGTACATACTCTGAGAACTCAATTAACACTAAATATCCCAATTATAACCCTGCGGGTTGAACAGGATATTTTTTTTAATTACTGCTACTTCTCTTTCAAAGTTCTCTATCTCTTCTTCTAATGAACACACATTCATTTTTTGTCATACCACTGAAAAATTAAATATGTTACAATTATTTAAGTTTTTGAGAATTTCAACTGTTATTTGAGGCGGTTTTCTTCATTGTTAGGGTAATGTGGGATGACAGTATTTTTCATCTTCTTGAGCCACAGTTAGCGGCATCCATGGCTTAGGTGTTGCGAGTCCGACTTGTAATTCCTACGTACCATCATCGAAACCGACTGCTGGCTGCATGAATTTCCATCATGGTATGGGACGTCACAGGTCGACCCAGCCTAAAATGGGTACCAGGATGTATGTCCTGGGGAAGTAAAGACAACCAGTGTAATGCTAACTGCACTACCCACCTAGTGTCGATTGGTCTGTAAAAATAAGGGTGCTCTTCCCAATGCTTGTTGTACCTAAAAGGCATGAAAAGGGATCTTCATTTACTTTACTTTTAAGCCACAGTTATTTTTGAAAAGATCATGATTTGATTTTGATTTGATTCAAGAACCGACATCACAGCACCCGGGGCATTCCCACAAGCGCTCCGTCTCCATCTTCAGCAGCCAGCGAAGAGTTCCGATACTAATGGTGCCAGTAGCTTTCTGATTAAATGTCCATCTTGCCTTTCCTCTGAGCCTTAAGCTTCTGCCAGAACCTCTGGTCACCCCCAACTGCATCAATCTCACCAAATTGTGGTGATCCATCTGCTCCTCCGCATTGTACACGCTCTCCCACAAGGCACTAACCACGTCTGCCCTATCATGTAGCAGTATTCCACCAAGTTGTGCAGAGCCAGCCAGTCTGTCCGCCTGTTCATTTCCCAACACACCGGCGTGACCCGGTGAAAAAATCCAGACAATACTCCTCACTCGTGTCCTCCGCAGCGAAGCATGCCACTCTGCACGAAGCATACCTGTTCTGATCTTCCTCAGCATGCTTTCTGAATCAGTTACAATTACAATGTGTGTGTGTCTCGTATTCTCTAGCCAGCGGAAAGCTGCAGTGACCGCCTCCACCTCCATTCTTAAGCTGAATGTTGTGGTATCATATGCTTGGCTCTCCTGCACCAAACGTCGACCATTAATTTTTGCTAAAAAGCCCCAAGCACTTCTTTTGCCTCTTGACACTGAACCGTCTGTATAAATGATCAAATCCTCTGAGCGAGCATTATCTTGAATTTATTGCTGAATTTCCACCTCTGTGGCACCTGCTGGCCAGTCTCTGCATTCCCGGCTCAGCGTGATTATGACTCTACACAAGTCCGAGTGCTCAGGTGGCACTTTGACCCACTCCTCTCCTCGCCTAATGTTCTCAAGGATGCAAACCTGTCTGATTGTGTCTTCTGCCTGAGCCATCCATGACCTCCCTCTTATCAGCCGCTGACCCTTAACTGCACTCAGAGCTTCATGCAGAGGGTGGTCTGTGTCTGCATCTACCCTGAGATATGACTTCGCCTGCAGCACCTTATGCCTACCTGCAACTGTCGGCAAACCAAGGATGTATCGCATACACACCACTGGGGTGTCTCTGGTGCAACCCAGAATGACCCACATAGCCGCGTTCTGTGTGCGCTCTAGTTTGTCCATCTGACTCTTTGAGATGGTAAGCAGTCCCAGGCCATAATCCACCACTGACAGGATCAGGTGCTGATATAGTGTGAAAAGCCTTCTCTGCTCTATGTCAATTGCAGCCATAGTCTTAAGTGCACTAAGTCCTTTTTGGCATCTCGTCACAACACTCTCCACATGGTCCTTAAATGACAGGCTCCTGTCAAATGTAATTCCCAGATACTTCAGTTTGCTCTCTCTGTTGACGTCTCTACCATCTATCGTGAGACTTGGGACATTAGTTTTAACGATTCTGTTGTCCAGAGAACACCACAAAACAGACGCCTTCATTTCTGTACACCACTCAGTCACTTTGTCTCATGGTGCTTCTAGGCTTGCAATCTTGCTCGTATACACGTTGAAGAGCACAGGCGAGATGGCGGATTCCTGTGGCAGTCCTGAGGCCAAAGTGCATGGTTCAGAGGTCCATGAGCCCAGTCAGAGAGCAACCCGATGTGAATACAGAACAGCTGCAACCCAATTCCCCAGCCATGGATTGACCTCCTTCTCCCTCAGTGCAGCCATTAGGATGTCGTATCTCACTCTGTTATAAGCATCCTCGAGATCCAGTCCTACCGCCACAGTTTCCTGTCTGTTCTGGAACCCTTCAAAGACGTCAAAAGCAAAAGTGGCCGCATTTGCCCAAGTGTCCTTTCCTGGCCTGTAACTTCCCAGACCTCTTGGGAGAAGCTTCCCCCTTTCCAAAAATTCTTGTAACTTTACAGCAACTATCTTCTCCAAGACCTTCCCAAATGTGTTTTGTAAGGTGATGATTCTAAAGCCACTAAGCTTAGAATGATCTTTTTTGAAAAGATCAATGATTCACGTAAATATGTTTTCACTAGAATGATGCATGTTATAACAAATGTTACCTTTTTTGTTTACTGGTGTTGGCTGTAATTTAGTTTCCATTGTTGTTTATTATTTAACCAAGCTACCAATGTTGATTGTTATTTTTGGTTGACATTTTATTTTTCTGGGCATACTGTTTTTTGCTTTGAGATTTCAAGTCTTATTCGTGTTTACTGAAACGGTAGAAAAGGTTTTGTTAGACAGTTTTGTCGTTTATTTACTCATAATTAAAACTTTCTTAAATTAAAGCTCATTTTAATTCCTAATAGTAATCCTATTTTATCATCTACATAATTTCAGATTGAGACAATTAGAGTCTTTTTTAATTCTAAGTTACCACAGCAAGTATCATTCTTCCTGTTTTCTGAAGGACAACAAAAGAGCTCTGGGGACTTTTTATGTGTAAACTTCACATGCACAAAAATCATGTAAGTAGTGTATACTTTCTGTATCTTCTTTCACTTTCTTTTTCCTCTACATTTTATCTCTAATAGCATCATATACACAACAAACTTTGTTATCAAAGATGACTAATTAGGGATGTTTCCTTTTAAGTTAGAGTGCATCTGCATAAGAGGAGAAGAACCATCAGTCTGCAATACAAATAAGCCAGATCTGAAACATGGATGTGCATGCAAAAGTCAAGTTCTGGAATAAGAAAGTCCACAAGTGGGTAAAAATAAAGTTTTTTTCATGCCTTTAGGCTCATTGGGTATATGGGAAGAGAATTTATATTTTTACAAACCAATTGGCACTAGGTGGGTAATGCGGTCAGCATTATGCTGGCCGCCTTTACTTCTCCAGAACATACATCCTGGTACCCATTTTAGACTGTGTCGACCTGTGACGCCCCATACCATGATAAAAATCCACGCAGCCAGCAGTGGCTTTCGATCACGGAACGTTAGAATTATGAGTGGGGGAACAACCAAAAACTTTCCACTTTAGTTTACAGTTGGGGAATACTAAGAAAAAGCAGGAGACTTGCTACTAAATACAACTAGCTGTAAAATCCAAACACAACACACTCACTGAGTTGGAATTCATCTAAAGTTTGGACAAGTTTGGTTACAGCAAATTTCTCTAATATGAAACATGGTTTGGAGATATGATATTTCACTTGTGATAGATTTTCTCAAATATTTCAGTAGGAAGAAATGTTGCTGAACTTGAATGATAGGTATTTGTGACATGTAGTAGTAGTAATTGTTTTAAATATCCTGTTCAACCCTCAGAATTATAATTGGGGTATATATAGTATTAACTGAGTTGTCAGAGTTCTCAGAGTATATATTTATTAAAAATTTTTATATCTTATAATTATCTATGTGACTAAAATGTAGTTTTTATTGTTTCACATTTTGATTTGATTTTGGATGTGATTCTTTTTAAAGCATTCACACATTTCTAATTTCATTCTCTGCTTGTGCAATCCAAGACTTTCCCTTTATCAGTCTGTGGCCCTAAGCTGCATGTGTTTAAGGAATTCTCATAGCAGATATTTGCCTCCTAATGCCAGTGGTTTGTCACATTTTAGGATTTCATATATTCCATGCTGTGGCTTAATGAGGCCATCTTCTTTCCTCATTCCCTTACTTTTTCAAACATTTCAAGGTTCTTTACAATTCCCCAGTTCTCATTTTATCTGGTTTTTGATGCATGATAGCCCAGTTCTCATTTTATCTGGTTGTTGAAGCATGATAGCCCAGTTCTCTTTGAGGTTTACTGCTGCAGATATCACTAGTCTCCATTTATCTCTCTGGCTGGCCTTCTCTTCACAATTTGTGACACCAGTTGTTTGCATATCTGGCTGGACATTATCTCTCGATCTTCCTTTTTGTCTGCCTCGTGGTCTACGCCCATTCCTCTCTCAGGTGTATACAGTCTTCTCTGTCTTTTGACATTCTTTCAATATGCCCTAACTATTTTAGTCTGTTAGCTCTCATGATGCCAGTGATCAATGGTGATTTAAACAAATCATTGTGGAGTGCCTGGAAATGAGAAAGCTGATCAACTGGCAGGGGAAGGTGCGAAAAAAGAGCAGCCAGATGTACCAGTCACATACCACCAAAAGAAAAGAATCATTAAATCGATCAGGAAACCACCAGCCCCAGCACAAGACGACTATTTTATTATGGACAGACCAGAACAAGTCATTATCTTCCGCCTCAGAACAGGGCACAACCGATTACGTAACCACATGTTCACAAAATTCAAGATAGGTGTATCAGCCATGTGCACCTGTGGAAATGTGCCCCAGACCGCAGAGCATGTACTCCAGGACTGCACCGAATTTGACACATTAAGGCAAACCTTTTGGCCAGAAAGAACAACAGTGGAACGTAAACTCTATGGACCACTGAATGAACTAACAACGACAGTGAAATTTATACAAGAGACAAAACTGCTGATATAGATAACTTATTTCAGGCGAACGAAAGAAGAAGAAGAAGAAACAAATTATGTGTTACGTTGTTGCTTCTCACTCTCCATTCCCTGCTGTTAGCATCTTTGATGGGTCCAAAGATGTGTCGTAAGACTGTTTTCAAGGCCTCATCTTTTTTATTTCTGCTTCAAGTTTCAGAGCCAAATAAAACGTCTGGTCTTATCAACGTTTTATATATTTTGATCTTGCTGTTGCGAGACAGACACTTTGACTTTAGCAGATGTTGAAGGGCATAGTATACTTTATTTCTAGATTTTATTCTAGATTGTATTTCTTCTCTCAGCATATTGGAGCAGTTGAAGTTTGCACCCAAGTACTTATATGTTTCCGTTCGTTTGATTTTCATATTATTGACTTGGATGTGGCTGGAGTTTATATTCTTCCCATGTCTAGTTAGTATTTGTACAGAACAGTAAACATTTAAAAACATTTTATGCTTTGCATCCTTCAGTCAGTCTATGGTAACTAATAACTAGGAATGAAAGAATCCTAAATATTATAACGAGTAACTAAACTTGTATATTGTCACTGATAGCTTAGTTAATGCATGAAAGCTGCATTAGCTTTCAACAAAACCAATCGTTCCATGTTGTTAGTATTAAGGCCGTGTATGCAGAAGCAGGTGTAAGGTAACTACTATTCGTATTCGGCCCGACCGCAACTATTTGGCCAAATACCGAATAGTTAATAGGTCCAATATTCAGCCCTGAAGAGAATACAAAGCCAATATTCGGTAC